TGGCCTGGAGCCAAAGGGTAAGGGCTGTCCAGCCTTGAGGGGTGTTGGGTGGGGAAGGGTGAGCCAGCCTGGGGATAAGAACCCAGAGCCTTTGACCTTGAGATGAGCCCACACTGACCGCTGGGTGCTGGGTGCTGGGGACACAGAACTCCTGCAGCTGTCATGGGGGGAGGGGTTCTACAGGTGCCCTTCTGCCCTGGCTGGCTGTTAAGCCGATGGTTCCGGCTGTGCTCTCTGAAGGACTGGCAGTCTGGGCCCCAAGGGCGGGGTGAGCGGTGAGCAGAGGCAGATACCCAAGGAGCCCAGGGAGGCTGGACGTGGGACAAGAGGAGAGGTGTGGCCTTGGGGACTGTCACCAGGTTTGTCCAGCATGGCTCTGCGTGCTGTGCATGTGTGCACACATGGGTCATGTATACTGCGAGGGGCTCGAGAACCCTGGCCCTGGGATCACATTGTTAGGAGCTCTTTAGGGGCAGCAGCTGAGCCTGATTGATCCCTGGGGCCCTGGGGGGTTCTGGGGGTCTGGCCCATCTCAGAGACACAAGTCCCCAGGGAATGGTGGCTGGGCATTTCGGGAGGAGAGATCTGTCACCTCTGAGGTGGAGTCTTACATTTCAGGAGGAGAGATCTGTCACCTCTGAGGTGGAGTCTTACAGAGAGGTTCTCATTAGGCCCAGAGCCCTCGGTGGAAGGCTGGAGGCTGGATTTGAAGGACCCTTTGCGAGGTACCCACGGATACCACAGGGAGGAGAGGAGGATGTAGACAGTTTAGAAGAGAGGAAGAGAGGGAAGAGGAAGCTGTTTGGCGCAGCCAGCCTGTGCCTCAGATCTGTGCCTGCCCTGGGGCAAAACCCCTGACCTTTACATTACCTCATAACTGCCTTGTGGCCCAGTTCACCCAGTTTGTCCTTGGAGAGGTCTACTGGCTCTTTTTGCTGACAAGGAAACCAGAGAGGGTGAGCTACCTGAACAGGCCACACAGCCAGCGAGGGCTGGAATTGCATCCATTTCCCTCTGTCCCAACCCCAGCACCCACAGGCAGCTCTGCCTCTGTAGACCTCCCTCTCACTCGTCCCTCTGCCTCTCTTCTGTCTTGCACCCCCTCTTGCCCGACCTGAGAGTTCCTCCCTGGGGCACGTGAGGACTTTGTGGTCTCTGCCCCTCTCCATCTCTAAATGACTCTTTCAGAACAGCCCAGGCTCCCTTTCCTTTCCTGCCGCATCTCCAACACGCTGTTGCCCTCTTTCACCTAGCCACCTGCTTTCAGCCTCTCGGGCTGAGCCCCGGAGGGTGGAGGGGACACATTCTGGGTCCTGATGCCTCGGAGTCTCCACTCACAGCTACCCCCTCCCAGCTGCCCCCAGCTGGCCACCCAGCCCTCCCCGCCCTGTGCAGTGTGAGCACGTTCAGAAGCCTTCTGGATCCTGGGGGAGCTCAGCGATCCACACATTTTAAGGAGACGGCCCTGGGTGGCTGTTAGATTCCGGGGTGCAGGAGAAGTGTCTGGTCCTGAAGCTTCAGACAGAACACCTTCTCCGTGTCTGTGGCAGCCAGCCTCGGGCACTGAACCCTCTTCCACCCACTGCAGCCAGGGCCAGTGAGGCCAGGGCACACTGCCAGCCCTTCTGTGGCCCTGGGCTCGGGGGTGGGAGGATGGGGTGGGAGAGGTGCTGGGAGTAGGATGTGGGGACTTCTGGGAGCCCAGCGTCACACCCCGAGTCCTTGAACACACGGATTCTGGGGCCCCTGCTACAGGGCTGGGAATCAGACTCTCTGGAGGCAGGTCCCAGGGACCCACATGGTAACAGCCTTCCGGCACAGTCCGGGACCCACAGGTGTGGCAGATGTTATGTGACCTCAAGAGGGGGGTCTCACTCGTTTTGAGTCTTGAAAAGGAGCCTTGAATACATGCGTGGGACAACAGGGTAAAGAAAACTAGTGTCCAAGCTGGCGGGTTAGGGGCAATTCTTTTTTCTGTTTTCCAACGTGCTTGCACGACTTTTCATTCATTGTTACTGTTCTGCTTCAGAACGGGAAGGCAGACACTCTCGTGAGAAGGACGCTGGGTCAGGAGTCAAGAGACCAGAGCTCCAGCCCTGGCTTGACCACCAGTGAGATGTATGAGCTTGGTGGGTCTCTCAGTTTCCCACAGTCACCATCCAGCTTGTCTCATAACCTGGGATTTTTGTTGGAGATCATGACTCTCAAATCCTGGACACACACCCTGTGTGTCTTTGCTCCTGCCGCACCGGGGTCAGCCTTCTAGATGCCCAGCAGGTGGATGGGATGGGGGAGGAACTGGGAGGGGCAGTGACAGGGAAGTGAGGGGACCCCAGGGGGCCTGGTGTCCTGAGCCCCCTTTCCCACGCTTCCAGCTCCAGGGCCTGGGAAGAGGGTGAGGTGGCGGCAGGAAGAGGAGGTGTCGCTGCCCGGGTTCTCACCCAAGCTGGCAGAGGGGTGGGACTGGCAGTGGTGACGCCAAGGCCACTCGGCCCCCGCTCTTCACAAGCACTTTCTTTTTTGGAAGAAACTGGAGTGAGGGGGTGAGGAATCTGGGGTTTGTTGCCCCCCTAACAGCCCATCAGGGTACGGAGAGACTGCCCCCCAACCACCTTCTTCCTCCAGGGACTGTCCCCAGGTCCACCTGACTCAGAGATTCATAATCCCTCCTGCCCTAGAAACCTGGGAGCGAGCTCAGGTCATCCTGTTCAGAGGCAGGGGGATGGCTCTCTTGACCTGAGGATTGGTGTGGAAGAGATGAGAGAGAGAGAGAGAGAGAGAGAAGGAGGAACAGGACTCCATTTGGCCTTCCACAGTCAAGTACTTAGCAAAAATGTCCCCCAAAAGAGATGTCATTATTCAAATCTCCTGGGGAAATTAGTCATTCAGGGAAATCTTACTGAAGTGTCTCGTGTTTCTCAAAAAGTAGCCAGGGGTCCCAAGGTCACCATCTCTTTCAGGCAATGCTGCCCCACTTGGAGGAGCAGGCAGAAACTTCCAGCCTCCCTGAAGCATGGGGAAATGGTGGGTCAAAGGGTGGGGCAGGCCAGTCCCCAGTTCTGATGCTGTCTTGTATCTGATCTCCATCGTCAGGGGACGGGCTGACTCTCTTTCCCCCCACCCTCCCTGGGTCATGCCCGCCTCCTGGGGTCCCCAGCTTCTCCTCCACCTGCCAACCTGCCTCTCGGTTCAGCTCTAGTTGGGAGCAGAGAGTCCCCATGGACGCCTAAGGGTGAAGCCCTGTTGGGCTGGGACAGCAATGTGGAGATGGGGCCAGCCCCCAGGGGAGAAGCGAGGAGGGCTGGGAGGGTGCGGGGAGAGGAGACGTTAACCTTTAACATGATGAAAATATGAAAGTATTTTTCAAAACGCTCTTTAAAATGTAAATCTTTATCTATATATTGACATGCAAAAAATTCCATGACACCTGATTGAGTGAAAAAAAAAACACATAACAAAGCAGCACGTGTGGTATTTTTATAAAGTGTGTGTGTGTGTGTGTGTGTGTGTGTGTGTGTTCATAAGACAGAAGGGCTGCATGCAGGGAGTAACGTCTGGAAAGGTGTTCACCAAAATGTGAATCCTCTTCGTCTCTGGGGGATGGAATTTGGGGTGGTTTATATGGTCCCATTTTTACTGCTTATATTTTCTACAAGTATGTTTTATCCGTATGTGCAAGAAAACTCCTAATGATGCTGTTTTCAACCGGGGGGTGGGGGGAGGAGGATTGTTTTCATCCTAAGAAGACTCTGTTAGTCAACAGAAAAACAAACTGGAGAAAGCAAAGCCCCGGTGGTCAGTCCCATCTTACAGGCAGCCCCACATGGAACAAGTCAACAAGTCGCAGGGGAGGGGGACGTCCTCCTCCCGGCCAGCCAGCTCTGACCCTGTTCCCAGCAGCCTTCCAGGCAGGGGGAAGAATAGACTGGAAAGTGCTGCCTAGGTCCCCCCTCTCATGTAAGGCTCACAGCCCCTCTGTAAAGTAAATCAGTTTATTTCCCCCATTTGATGGTGGGGAGGCTGACTTTCAGGCAAGGGAAGTGACTTGCCCAGGTCACACATACCTGAGTGACAGGCAGAGCGGGTGCCAAGACTCTGAGCACGGGCAGCCCAGTGCTAACTTCCAGCGCCCTCGCTGCCCCCGCCGGCCCCGGGCCCTGCAAACCTGAAGTTGCAGCCGATGCAGTCCCCTTCAAGGAACGCTTCCTGTGCCCCCAGGTTCCAGCTCTGCCTTGGCGCTGCTGGAACAAGATGCCTGGGACACACAGCCCACTTCCTCTGGCCCCGAGGAAGAGTACAAACACTTCAGGCAAAGCCACTCAGCACAGAGCCTGGGCACACACTGGGCATCAGTGGATCTGCTAAATGTTCGTGGTCTAAGCAGCTCGGACTGGGTGCAGACCCTGCTGCTGCTACGAGCTGCGAGTGCTGCCACAAGGCCCTGTGAGTCGCATCTGGGCCGTCACGGAAGGCTTCCTGTAGGAGGAGACCTTTGAGCTGAGCCTTGAAGGACGGGTTGAATTTCCACGACGGTCCAGGGGAGAGAAACAGGCTGGCGTTTCGGGTGGACGGGTGGACTCTTCCAGAGGGCAGTCTGTTAGCGCGAACTTCGCGGCGCGCGGGGACTCGCCACACCGTGGGGGCCTCCGGTCTTCGGCGACTGCTTCGAATTTGCCGAGTATTAGCCACGAGGGGGCGGGGTGAGGCGGGGCGGGGCCGAGGTGGTGGGGTGGGGGGAGCCCAGAGAGCTTCATAAAGCCACAGCAAAGGCGCCGCGACGCTAGTGACAGCGGCCCGCTGGAGAGGGAGCCCGGGAGCTGCTGCGCGCCCGCCAACCGCGGGCTCAGGACCCAGGCGTCCGAGCCCGGGCTCCGGTGGGGCCCCCAGGGCCCCCACCCCCGCCCCTGCCCCCGGGGCCCCGCCCCACCCCGCCCCGACCCTCGCGACCCCCACGCCTGCCCCCGCGCGGAGAGGGGCCAGTCCCCGACGGCTGCGGAAAGGTGCCAGCCCGCCCCGGATGGGCATCGTGGAGCCGGGCTGCGGAGACATGCTGACGGGCACCGAGCCGATGCCGGCGAGCGACGAGGGCCGGGCGCCCGGCGCCGACCCGCAGAACCGTTACTTCTACCCGGAGCCCGGCGCGCAGGACGCGGCCGACCGTCGCGGGGGCGCCAGCCTGGGGGCGCCCTACGCCGGGGGCGCCCTGGTGCCCGCTCCGCCAGGCCGCTTCCTCGGAGCCTACGCCTACCCGCCCCGGCCCCAGGCCGCCGGCTTCCCCGGGGTGGGCGAGCCCTTCCCGCCGACGGCGAGCGCCGAGGGCTACCAGCCTGGAGACGGCTACGCGGCCCCGGACCCGCGCTCGGTTCTCTACCCGGGGCCGCGCGAGGACTACGCGCTGCCGGCGGGGCTGGAGGTGTCAGGGAAGCTGCGAGTCGCGCTCAACAACCACCTGTTGTGGTCCAAGTTTAATCAGCACCAGACGGAGATGATCATCACCAAGCAGGGACGGTGAGTGAGGCGCGCGCCCGGAACAAGGACGTGGTTTTTTCTCGTGTCTAGACTTTGCGAGTGTCTCCGAGCCCCTCACGGTCTGGCTTTGGCTTTGGGGGAAGCAGGGAGGGAGTTGTAGCAGGGACAGGAGAGGTTTGAGGGTTGTTTTCTCCTAGGACACAGAACTCAGAAGGGAGATGGAGAGTGAGTGCAATGAGAAGTTGTCGTGGGGTAGGGGGAGGGTGCCTACGGTTTCACCCAGAATTGGGGTGTGCCCTTGTCGCACTCTCTGCTTCAGTGAGGGTCACGGAGGGGGGGCGGGGGATGTGGGTATTGGGTTTGACAAGGCCGGACCCCTCTTAGCCCCTATGCGTGGGGAAATGGAGGAGAGGGCAGGGTCTTGGGGGCATCAGGCAGTAACCCGGGGCAAACCACCCCCACCCCTCCTTCCCCTCCACTCCCGCCCACGTCTCCTACCCCTCACCCACTCCCAGCCCTTTTGCTACTGCTGTGCACAGGTCAGTTTTGCGAGGTGGGTAAGACTGGGATTTGGTGACTCCGAGAAGCAGTCGCCAAGTTTCCCTTCCGGTAGTACTTTGAGATCATATGTCTGCTGCGAGTGTGTTTAGGGGTGGGGGGGTGTGGTAAAGCATGTGGGGGGCACACATCCCTTCCAGGAACAGCAGCACACATACCCAAGGGCCTGAGCAGGTGAAGCTGGGCCCCCCAGGTCCCAGCTGGCCACCGGTCCCACTCGGCTCCCCCAGAGCTCTGTCCCCTAAAAGTCCACACCTCACCCCTGTCCAGATACTTTCCAGTCTACGATGGAGCTTGGGGAAGCCCTGGCTCTAGGGCTCAGTGTCCTATGAGCCCAGTGCATGCGGGGTAGGGTTTGGGGCCGAGGGTGCTGCTTCCGGAGAGAGCCTCCCGCGTGAGGAAAGAAAGAGAAACTTGCCACGACTGCGGTACTTGTTTAGTAAGCAACGCTGAGTGGGGCCTGCCTGCTTGTGGCATGTGAGGTGTGCACCCACCCTTCCCGGTGGGGGGCCTGTGTGGGCAGGGGACCAGGGAGGACCTCTGTGTGGAGGGGCTGCGTCATCAGTGCGCCCGGGAGGTGTTGAAGGGCAGACACCGGCGTGGGGGTTGGGGAGGGAGAAGGCAGAGGCCACACTGGGCCAGGGTTGGGGGGGTTGGCATTCAATGTCGGCATTGCTGGGATATTCTTCCCTCCCAGTGACTTCTGTGGGGTGGCCTGGGACTGAGGGACCTGTCCACCAACCACAAATAGCTTCAAGTGCCTGAGTTGTTTCTCTGGGATGAACCCAGGGAAGCTGGCACTTTCTTTTTTTTATGGCATGGCCTCCAGCCTCTAAACCTTCTGATGATTCCTCTCTGCGCCGTCCCCCTCTCTCAACCCTGGCCCCCCGGGGGTGCTCCCAGGCACTGACTGCCCAGGCTTCTAGTCCCATCAAGTTTGAATTGGAGGCGACCCAGAGGATCCTGTCCAGTCCCCTCCCTGCACAGACAGGAAGGGACTCAGAGACAGTAAGAGACTCTTTTGAGGTGACACATAGCCGTCACAGGCAGAACGGGCACCAGAACTGAGACGGTATCCGCCTGGCTTTCTTTCTCCAGCCTCTCGCAGCCAGGAGTAAAAACAGCCACCTACACTGTCCAAAGACGTTGATGCATTCAGGGTGCTTTCACTTCCATTATTCTACAGCACGCTACGTAGGTCAAGCAGTGTCCCCATTTACAGGTGGGGCGCTGAAGCACGGGGACCAAGCGGCTTGCACCCGGTCACCCAGCAGACCTGAACTCAGGCCTCCGTTCTCTGGCGGTCAGGATCCTTCACCCCCTAAGGCCTGGCCCTGGACTCCCTACAACCAGCCTCCAGGCCCCTGCCCTTCCAGTCTTGAGGGTGGCCGCTTCCTCGGAGGAAGTCTCTGGGGTGGCCAGAACTTCAGGGACCCCGAGGGGTGCTGGGCTGCCTGCAGCCTGGTGAGGGAGGCATCTCACAGGGATGTGACTCCGCGGGTCCCCGTCACTACCCCTGTGGCCTCCTTCTTTCCTTTGTGTTCTTGCTGAATAATTCGTTCTTGACGAGTTTTGTTGTCTCTCTTTTAGATCGCACTCCTACTTTCTTTTAGTATGAAAAGTTCCAATATATGCAAAAGCAAAGAGAAAACCCTAACAGGCCCCCACCTACCTACATCACCAGCTGGGGCACTTGTCACCCCTGGTCCAATCTTGTTTCTTCTTCGTCCTGGCTCACCTCACTTCCGCCCCCACCCCCAGTCTGTAGCTGTATCAGTGATGGTGTTAAGTATTTAGTAAGCAAGTCCTAGATACTCTGAAAGAGTTTTCATCCTTAAAATTTCTCTATGCGCGTCTAAAAATGGCTTTGTAAAAGTAAACACAATACCGTTAGCAAACCTGAAAAGAAATGCATAAATACCATCAAATTTTCCTGATCATTTCGTAATCGTGCGTGAGTGTGTCGGTCACAATCCTGACACTTTCGATCCATCCTGAGGGACGGCTTAGGACACCCTGAGGTCCCTGTTAGAAGGGGACCTCACCATTTCCTTTGATGCCTCCCTTGGATCAGGCCTCAGTGGTCCCATGGTGGGGTGGAAGGGACAGAGCACATACAGTCCCCAATTCAGTCCCACTGGCCCCAATTCAGCCCTGTCCCCAAACTTGGGCCCCAGTCCTCTGGGAAGACGGCGGCCATTTCCTTCTGCTACTGGCTTCTGAAAAGTAAGGCTTGGGCTCAGAGAACAGCACCCTCTCTATCCTGCTTTGGAGGGCTGGCCTGTCCCTCTGTGGGTTCCAGTGACCTGCCAGTCACCACCGCATCACCCACGGCCTTCTTCCTTTTTGAAAAATCCTTCCAGCCCAGGCCCTCCCACAGCCCCACAGCCTTTTGCCATGGGCTGACTCATTCCCTCCCAGATCCTTCCTCTCCCACCCACCCTAAACCCATCCCTTAGTATGGACAAGCAATCACTGTCACCTCCACGGGGCAGCAGCCGGGTGGGGAGCGGTGGTGGGAGGGGGGTGGCAGAGACTGACCCAGGCAGCTCGGGTGAGGCTGGGAGGGGAAAGTGAGATAAAATGTTGGCCTGACCAAGTGGAGATGTTGGAGTTCAAGTTTGTGCATTTGTGAAGTCTCGGGGTGCCTACCCTGGACCTGTGCTGTATTTCTGTGTGGCAGCATGTGTGTGTGCTGTGAACGTGTTGGTGTGTGTAGAATAGTTGATGGTAGGCATTCTCAGTAGAGGAAGAGAGATGCGGGTGTCTTTGGCGTGGGTGTGTGGGTGTGCGTTCATTGCCGGCAATCCCCGCTTTTCTGGGTGTGATTAGTTGATTATTATAATTAAGATAAATTTGGGTAGCTCTGTTGTTAAGGAGCTCAATTTGCATTTGTGTATGTATGTGTGAATTTAGGGGTCGGTAAAGCCATTTCAGTGCCAACCGATCCTCTGTCACTGGCCTCGTAGCCATGGTGGTTTTCCCTTCTCTACATCCCCGAGTCCAAGAACTTTTTAGATCTTTGAAACTATTTATTTATTTATTTATTTATTTATTTATTTATTTATTTATTTTAGTTCTAAGCCCGCTTTAATTTGGACTCACTGGCTTCCTCTCTCTTGGGGCAGGCGAAAACAGCTTTATTTTCCAATGGCTGTTTGCTAGCTAAACCGATCTGATTTCCGTGAAGTTGGATCTGAGGCTGGGGGGGAGGGGGAGATCCTTTGATGCCAGAGCACATTTTGCATTTCGATAGGTACAAGGGAGTGCAGGAATATCCTAAAAGGTGACACTAATTTACACCTGCACCAGTAGTGTGTGAGAAGACCCCTTTCCTGATAGCCGCATCAGTGATAGATATCAATTTTGAAACATTTTGCCAACACGACTGACAGAAAATGACTTCCTTTTAGTTTGTACGTAATGAAGGTGAAATGGGGCATATCAGAAGTGTTAAGGATGGCAGGGGGGGGGGGAGGTGTTCAGGATGGCGGGGGGCGGGTATGGTGACCCTGCGAATCATTTCAAGATGGAATAGTCCTGAGTGGCAGCTGAGGAATTTAGAGTCTCGGGCCCTGGCCTCTGGGGGCAGGATGGTAAGTGGTCTTTTTGGGGTTTTTTGTTTAATTTGTTGTTGTTTTTTGGTTTTGGTTTAATTTATTTCTGAGAGAGAGACAGACAGACAGCGTGAGCAGGGGAGGGTCAGAGAGAGAGGAAAACACAGAATCTGAAACAGGCTCCAGGCTCCGAGCTAGCTGTCAGCACAGAGCCCAATGTGGGGCTCGAATCCACGAACCGTGAGATCATGACCTGAGCCGAAGTCGGACGCTTAACCAGTTGAGTCACCCAGGCGCCCCTGGGTTTTTTTGTTTAATATTTTAATGTTTATTTTATTTTTGAGAGAGAGACAGAGCACGAGCGGGGGAGGGGCAGAGGGAGACAACAGAATCCGAAGCAGGCCCCAGGCTCTGAGTTGTCAACACAGAGCCAGATGCGGGGCTCGAACCCACGAACCGTGAGACCATGACCTGAGCCAAAGTCGGACGCTTAACTGACTGAGCCACCCAGGCGCCCCATAAGTGGTCTTTTTGAAGACCTTAGTTTGACATCAGACTCTGTTCCTTCCCAGCAAAGTGTCATGTAAATCAGGGGCTATTTTGGGATTCCAGATGGTGGTGATTCTAGACCTTTAGGGTGAAAATGAGACCTCCCTTCTCTTCTCCCTTTCCCCCATTCTCTTCCCGCTTCTCCTCCATTTCCCTCTACCAGAGCTTAGCCGGGTAGAGAGATGGACACCATGGCATGTAGGCTACAGTCAGGAACCCCGACTCCGTTCTCCCACCAAGGATCCGTCATCGCGGCTTTCCGATCCTTGGTGTCTTTCAAGTATAAAATTGGAAATAACATTTTACATTTCAGGGGCTCCTCGGTGGCCCAGTGGATTAAGCATCCACCTTCGGCTCAGGTCATGATCTCGCAATTCGTGACTTCGAGCCCTGCATTGGGCTCTTGGCTGTCTGTGTCAGACTTGCTTCGGATCCTGTCTTCCTCTCTCTGCCCTTTCCCTGCTCACGCTTTCCTTCTCTCAAAAATAAATAATAAAAAGCATTAAAAAAAAGTGTTTTTTTACATTTCAAAGGACTGGTATGGTGAACTGACTGCTGCTAAGTAGAGACACAGTGAATATGTTCCTTCTCTTCCTTTATTCCTATAGGTCTGGAGAGGAGCTAGTTATGATACAAAAAATGTGTGCGACCCGACTGCATCATAGAATGAGTTGGTGGTAGAGACGAGTTGACAGTATCGCCCCAAACTTAATTGTTCAAGGCCTCAACCCTAACCTTTGATTTCTCAAATCAGCTGGCCTGCTGAGCCCCTGGGGCCCAGGGCCTGGAGCTAGAGCTCTGGACTCCTGCTGGGGTCCTTGGGCCTGGCCTGAGGGCTTTGATAGCTCTGAGCCTGGGAGAGGGTAGGGTGGAGGAGGGACCGGATGCGCTGAGTTTCACATCTTTCAAACTTTTGAACAGCTCTCAGAGGAAAAATGAACAGGAGTTACTGTCCCCATTTACAGGTGAAGAAACTGAGGTTTGGTTTGGGAATTAACGTATCCAAGAGCAGAGGGTCAGTAAGTCTCTTGTTTTTCTCAGCATCGGAGAGTCCGGAGAAGACAAGAATGTGGGGAGACCTTCCCAAGGTTATTAAGGCTGTTGCTCTGGCACCTCCTGGGGACTAGGATGCCCCCAAAAGTGCTCCTGGGCCTCTGGAACTCTCCCTCCCCCGGGTTTCCTGACTCACAGACTGGTGTCTTTCTTCCCACCCTGCGTGACTTCTTGTAGGAGGAGGGGAGAGGTGTGTGGGAATGAAAAGTAATTCTGATGAGGGTGTGATTCTGCCATCCTGAAAAGTCTGCCCTGCCTGCTCGGGTTAGAAAATCAAAGACTGGTGACGGTACTGGCGCTGGTAGAGGTGGTGGTTGTCGTAATGGCGGCGATGGTGATGGTGATAATGGAGGTGATGTTTGCAATGGGGGCAGTGATGGCGGAGATGGCGGTCATAGGGATGGTGCAGGTGACAGAGATGGGCGTGGTATGGAAGTGCTTCCTTCTCTGAATCTATTACTCTGGCATAATAGAGGATAATACAGCCTTGACTTCCTCCACTTTTCCTGGGAACCTGACCTTTGAGAGTGAGGCGGATGGGAAGTTCCACCTAGGATTTTCGCTACTAAGGCTCAGGCTGGGACAGGCCATCAAGAGACATCAAGCCTGGGAGGATGGGGGCAGGAGGAGCCTGGGTGCCACAGGGCTGGGGGTGTGAGAGCACTGGGAGGGCCACAATGGGGACGATGGGTCGGGGACTGAGACCAGACGAGGACTTGGGAGACTGAGGCATGAGGGCCTATGGGGAAGTGCCCATGGGGGGCTGGCTTGTGGGTTTGCTCCCCGCTAGGAAGCAAACTAAGGTTAGAGACAGTGACGTGCAGCTAATGTCTAGCAACTGACCCTCTGAAGGAAGAGCCGTGAAAGAGCCCTGATTCATAGCATTTGCTGCTTTCCGTGGTGTAAATATACCTATGGTGGCTGATTTCAAACTATGCTTGTGGTAATACTGAATGCAGAGTTGGGAAGAGATAGGCCATAGTTCAGTTATCTAGTATTTTCACCAGACGGGAACAAGAGATATAAGAAACCTCAAGATGGGGCGCCTGGGTGGCTCAGTTGGTTAAGCGTCAAACTTCAGCTCAGATCGTGATCTCACGGCTAGTGAGTTCGAGCCCCGCGTCGGGCTCTGTGCTGATGGGTCAGAACCCGCAGTGTGCTTTGGATTCTGTGTCTCCGTCTCTCTCTGCCCCTCCCCGGCTTGCTCTCTGTCTCTCAAAAATAAACAAACATTTAAAAAAATTTTTTTTTAATTTTTTTTAAATGTTTTATTTATTTCTAGGAGAGAGAGAGAGACAGCGTGAGCAGGGGAGGGTCAGAGAGAGAGGGAGACACAGATTCTGAAACAGGCTCCAGGCTCCGAGCTGGCAGTCAGCACAGAGCCCGACGCGGGGCTCGAACCCACGAACCGCGAGATCATGACCCAAGCGAAAGTTGGACGCTTAACCGACTAAGCCACCCAGGCGCCCCTAAAAAAATTTTTAAAAAGTAACCTCAAGAGCAGAGATAGTAGTAAAATGTAGTAAACGAACTGAGAAGTGATGATTGTTGAGTATTTATTACCTTGGCTTATAATGTATTTAATTGTAAGTTGATATCATTTCATTTTTAGTTATGGCATTGTTTAGCAACTGGCTGGCATTTCCACTTGGCTCTCTGGAGGGCTGGAAGCCGACTCCGGCACATCACCGAAAGCCTTCGCTCAGGGCTGGCTGTCTGCAAGGCTGGGGACTGATGGATGTGGGTGTGTCTTTCTGTTCTCCCTAGGCGGATGTTCCCATTCTTGTCATTTACTGTGGCGGGGCTGGAGCCCACGAGCCATTACCGGATGTTCGTGGACGTGGTCTTGGTGGACCAGCACCACTGGCGGTATCAGAGCGGCAAGTGGGTGCAGTGTGGAAAGGCTGAGGGCAGCATGCCAGGTAGGAGCCCCCGGAGATGACTGGATGCTCTTTTTCTCCGAGACTGAGCGCCCCCTGGTGGACCCAGGAGGAAGCCTCCAGCCGCGGCCCCCACACCTAAGATTTAACTCCCCATCCCACCCTTATCTCCTCCCATTTCTCACTCCCTTTCTGTTTGTCCTCTCTTCTCTCTTCTGCCTTAGCCTGTCTTCTGCTCAGTCCTCTGTGCACATTTCCCCGTTGCCCCGCCCCATCTAGTCCTGCCCCCTGCAGCCTTTTTGACACCCCCCTCGGAATAGGCAAAGAGGCCCCATGTCACCTGGCTCTGATCCCGGGAGCTGCATGCCAAAGAGGTTAACTGTCCACAGGAAACCGCCTGTACGTCCACCCAGATTCCCCCAACACTGGAGCCCATTGGATGCGCCAGGAAGTTTCATTCGGGAAACTGAAGCTCACGAACAACAAAGGGGCCTCGAACAATGTGACCCAGGTGAGACTCCTTGCCACCCCCCACCCCTCCGGGCTGATTCTGTTCTGTAAAAGTCACTTTTTTTTCTCTCTGACTCTGGTTCTTTCCCACCCACCATGGGGGGAAGATGAGGTGGGAGGAAGCGAATCTCAGGGGCAGACATGGGGTGTATTTAGGATGACACGGGCCAAGCTGGCCCTTGGGGGTTTCTTCACCAAACCGGAGGCCCCCATCACTTATGCACCCTGCTGGGCATAGTGCTGGGACCTGTGGCCCCAGGGAATGGACACAGAGTCTAAGTTGAGCAACCCTGTTAACAGAGCCCTGAAAAGCCACCTGCTTGTGCTAATATCTTGGTGACAATGGACATCTGTGGGTAGGAAACAGGGCAAGAAGGCACAAGTGGTGTCCTGGAGAGGCTGGGGACCAGAATTAGAAGGCCTGGGGGAAGCTACCTCGTAGCACGGCAGGGGAATGGACACTATGACCTCAGAGTCCCTTCCAGCCTGGCCACAGGACCGGCCGAGGGTGGGGATAGAGGACCCTTAGACCCCCCACAAGCGTCTGGCTCTCTCTCAGATGATCGTGCTCCAGTCTCTCCATAAGTACCAGCCTCGGCTGCACATCGTTGAGGTGAACGAGGGGGAACCCGAGGGGTCCTGCAACACCTCCAACACGCATATCTTCACCTTCCAAGAGACGCAGTTCATTGCCGTGACCGCCTACCAGAATGCAGAGGTGAGGGCTGCCGGGCAGGGCTGAGCTTCAAGGGGCAGGAGGGGAGAGGGGAGCCCACAGGCTTCTTTGGTGGGGAATCCAGAAGTTCTCTAGCACAGGACTCAGGACTCAGGCGCCTCTATTTCCCCTCTCTCTAGATCACTCAGCTGAAAATTGATAATAACCCTTTTGCCAAAGGATTCCGGGAGAACCTTGAGTCGTAAGTGCCGCTGGGTCCAGCTTCCCTTTGCAGAGGGGCCTCCGCTTGGTCCCTCCTGGGACTTGACTCCAGACTTGTGCTGAGCGTGTCGCCTTCCCTGGGGGTGGGCAGGGGTGGGGTGGATGCTGGAGGGCGGGAAGACCAAGGAAAGAGGATCCAGGGAGGGACGCGCAATAGGCAGGCTTACAGGTGACTGGTTCTGATTGTGACCCGTTTTCTTGCCTTATTATTGTTTGTTTTTAAAGCATGTATGCATCTGTTGACACCAGCGTCCCTTCCCCACCTGGACCCAACTGTCAGTTGCTTGGGGGAGACCACTACTCTCCTCTCCTACCCAACCAGTACCCCGTTCCCAGCCGCTTCTACTCCGACCTTCCCGGGCAAGCCAAGGATGTAGTTTCCCAGCCCTACTGGCTGGGGCCCCCCCGGGACCACAGCTACGAGGCTGAGTTTCGAGCAGTCAGCATGAAGCCTGCGTTCCTGCCCTCCGCCCCCGGACCCACCATGTCCTACTACCGAGGCCAAGAGGTTCTGACGCCCGGAGCTGGCTGGCCGGTGGCCCCCCAGTACCCTCCCAAGATGGGCCCAGGCAGCTGGTTCCGCCCCATGAGGACTCTGCCCATGGAACCTGGTCCCGGAGCTTCAGAGGGACGGGGGCCGGAGGACCAGGGCTCCCCCTCGGTGTGGACTGAGATCACCCCCCTGCGGCCAGAGTCCAGTGACTCAGGACTGGGTGAAGGAGACTCTAAGAGGAGGCGCGTGTCCCCCTACCCTTCCAGTGGCGATAGCTCCTCCCCTGCTGGGGCCCCTTCTCCTTTTGACAAGGAAACCGAAGGCCAGTTTTATAGCTATTTCCCCAACTGAGCGGATGACTTGGCGAAAGGCTCAGAAACGGTGTTACCAGGTTGGAGGACACCAACGAATGCAGACAGCAGACTCGGGACTGAGAGGCCCCAGCCCCCTCTGTCCCTTCCCCTTTTGTAGTTGGGTGAGGAAGAGGGGGTTCCGGGGTTCACTTGCTGCTTCCGGCCCTCGATGAAACCTGAGAGGAGTGTCCCATGCCCCTTCCTCTGCCCTAACTACAGTCGTCTCCCTGGTACTGCTGCAGGCTGTGGGTTCCCAGCTGGAGAACAGAAAAAGGAGAACAAGAAGATCTTGGACACAAAGGAGCTTCCTCTCTTCTGTGGGCCTGGGTAGGGGTCAGGGGGGCCGGCTGGGACCTGCAGATCGTCTTCTCTTGTAGAACTAACTTCGGGCAGTTTCGATTGTGTGTGTGAAAATAAAGATACCATGGATTTTATGACAGTCAGCCAGCCAGGATCAGCGAGAGGACGCAGATGACTTGGGGCAGCTGGCCGGGACCCCATCCGCTCAAGAGACAGTGGGGTCCCGAGGAAGGGGCTGGGAAGGGGCGGGGACGGTGCACACCTCAAGAAGCGAAGTCTTTGGGGGTGGTCATTGCCTGGGGGCGTGCGCTTTTTTCTTTTTTTTTTTTTTTCTTTTTTCTTTTTTGGAATGGGGAGGCTATTTATTGTACAGAGAGTGGTGTCTGGATATATTTCTTTTGTCTTCATCACTTTCTGCAAATAAACCTGAAACTGTAGACTGTGTCCTGCTTCAGTGCCCTGGAGGGGGACGTGGATGGGGACTCCGCTGGGAATTGCAAGCGCACCACAGCTCTCCGACAGCAGCTGAAGTTCCCAGGGACCCGTGCCTTCTAGAAACCCAGAGTGGCTTCATTCAGGGGATAAACAGAGCAAGGCCACATGTCCCGAAGGTTGATGGTTGACTCCACCTTGTAAGGCACCTTGGGACTGCCTGTGTGGCACCCTGACCTGTGGAGGAGGCATCTGAAGGCGAGACCTGAGGATAGGGCTGGGTGGCGGCTGGGAGCTCTGTGGGGAGAAGCCTTGATTTCTCTTTGTATTTTTTTTTAACTTAAAAAAATTTAATGTTTATTTATTTTTGAGAGATAGAGCGCTAGCGAGGAAGAGGCAGAGAGAGAGGGGGACACAGAATCTGAAGCAGGCTCCAGGCTCCCCACTGTCAGCACAGAGCCTAACTCGAGGCTCGAAGTCACTAGTGAGATTATGACCTGAGCTGAAGTCAGAGACTTAACAAACTGAGCCATCCAGGCGCCTCTAAAAATTTTTTAAATGTTTATTATTTTTAAGAGAGAGAGAGAGAGAGAGCAAGCAGGAGAGGGGCAGAGAGAGGTTCAGGAATCTGAAACAGGTTCCAGACTTCCAGCTCTCAGCTGAGAACCTGATGTGGGGCTCGAACTCACAAGCTGCGAGATCACGACTGGAGCCGAACCTGGTCACTGAACCAACTGAGCCATCCAGGTGCCTCTCTGCTCTTTTAGGAGCTTTTGTTCTCCATCGTCATCTTAGGGTTGTTCAAAGGGGAAAGGAGTACATATAAACTGAATCACATGAAATTGCTGTTTTTGTAGGTCAAGAACAGCCAAATATTGGCAACTCCATACGATTCAAACTAGTACGTGTAAAGGGTTTAGAATAGCATCTGATAAACAGCAAGCCCTCAATCTGCAAATTATAGTTGTTATAATTCTCTAGCTCTGTTTCTCTCTCTCTTTATATACACACTGACTTGTGTTTGTAAAAGAACACCTGCTTCTTTTAAGGAATGTAAGCAATGCAGAGAAGTAAAAAGATGGCACTAAATTATCCCAAAGCTTACCACCCACCAATAATTATCATTAAATGTTAAATGGGTTAGATAGACCGAGATATATTTTTATAACATTGGAATCATACTGAAAATGCTTTCTAAAAAATATTTTTTTATTTAAAAACACTTTTTATGTCTTTATTTTGAGAGACAGAGAGACAAAGAGCAAGCAGGGTGGGGGCAGAGAGAGAGGGAGACACAGAATCTGAAGCGGGCTCCAGGCTGTGAGCTGTCGGCACAGAGCCCGATGCGGGGCTCGAACCCACGGATTGTGAGATCATGACCTGAGCTGAAGTCAGACAGCTAACTGACTGAGCCACCCAGGCACCCCCAAAATATTTTATTTTTAATAAGTAATCTCTACACCCAACATGAGAGCTCGAACTCAGAACCCCAAGATCAAGAGTTGCATGCTTTACTCACTGGGCCAGCCAGGTGCTCCTGAAGATGCTTTTTCTTAATGAAAACTATTAAATTTTAGTTTACAGAATTAAGTAATGCAAAAATAAAAATCGTATCAAACAAACTGTCAAAACCTGAAAAACTGTCAAGTGAATGAAGGGATCATTGAGCTCGAGATGTTTTTTGTCTTTTTTCCCAGGATAAGAGTTATTTCCATGAAGGAGCGCTCTAAGGTTAAGAAAGAAGCTTACAGGGGCACCTGGGTGGCTCAGTCGGTTGAGCGTCCGACTTCAGCTCAGGTCATGATCTCACGGTTCGTGGGTTTGAGCCCCACGTCGGGCTCTGTGCTGACAGCTCAGATCCTGGAATCTGCTTCAGATTCTGTATCTCCCTCTCTCTCTGACCCTTCCCCTCTCATGCTATGTCTCTCTCTCTCAGAAATAAATAAAACATTAAAAAAAAAAGAAAAGAAAAAAAGAAAGAAAGAAGCTTACAGGGCACCTGGGCTCACTCTTGAATTCAGCTCAGGTCATGATCTCATGGTTCCTGGGTTTGAGCCCTGCATTGAGCTCTGTGCTGACAGCTCGGAGCTTGCTTGGGATTATCTCTCTCTCTCCCTCTCTCTCTACCCTTCCTTGCTCACATTCTCTCTCTGCAAATAAATAAATAAACTTAAGGAGGGGGGGGGAGGAGCTTATGGGAAACACCCAGAAGTTAGAATTACTCCATTTTCCTGGCCACAGTCCAGGGTATCCCCCACTCTAATGGGGGAGAGGGGTGTCATTATGGGCCCTTGGATGCTCTCCTACTTCTGTTAGAGCTGGGAAATCTTCACTTCTGTCACAGTTCACATCCTGGTCTCCATCCAGAGGCCATTTTCATCACCTTCTAGTTAGAAGAAGAAAAAGAAGACATATTTGTTTTCATTCTCCTTGGATTTGGAAGCTTATAATTTTGTAAATGCCATTAGTGGTTCCATCATACTGCACTATCTAAGTGCAGATTATTGCTCTCATCCCTTTGGCTGTCACTCCCCGGAGTTATTAAGTGTTGGTATTAAATTAGGTCTATTTCCCTTTTTGGGAACTGTTGTCAGTAATTACAGTACTCTTCTCCTTCACTGTTTTTATTTTTATTTAAGTTTATTTATTTATTTTTAGTTATCTCAACACCCAACATGAGGCTCCAACTCACCGCCCTGAGATTACGAGTCTCATGCTCTTCCCACTGAGCAGCCAGGTGCCCCATCCACCCCTGTTTTTAAATGGTGTTTGTTCCCTTCATTAGATATAAGTGAAGGGTGTTGTATTTACATACTCTATTATCTTTTTCCAGAAGTGTGGGGGCATGTGTTTTGTTGCTTTTTTATTTGACTCATAACGGTTCATTGCTACTATTCCTTCACTATTAAATATACGTTTTACTGAAAAGGAAAAATACTGAAAATACTAAAATACATTTTTATATTATCTTTCTATGCATAAACATAGGATATTTCTTCATTTATTTAGGCCATTCTTAAGGTCCTCCAGTAAAGTTTTATAGTTTATATACAAGATATATATATTCTTTTCTATAAAAGGGTTTTTTTTTCTCTATAAAGGGTATTTTTTAAAAAATACAGGGGCGCCTGGGTGGCTCAGTCAGTTAAGCGTCTGACCTCAGCTCAGGTCATGATCTCACAGTTCGTGGGTTTGGGCCCTGCATTGAGCTCTGTGCTGACAGCTCAGAGTCTGGAGCCTGCTTCGGATTCTGTGTCTCCCTCTCTCTCTGACCCTCCCCCGCTCATGCTCTCTCACTCTCATCTCAAAAATAAAAATAAACATAAACAATTTTTGAAAAAAAAAAACATATTTTCAGGGTGCCCTGGTGACTCTGTCGGTTAAGCATCCTACTTCAGCTCAGGTCATAATCTCACAGTTCGTGAGTTCGAACCCTGCATCAGGCTCTCTGCTGTCAGTGCAAAGGCTACTTGAGGATTCTCTGTCTCCCTGTCTCTGCCCCTCCCCTGCTCATGCTCTCTCTCTCTCTCAAATAAACATTAAAAAAATAAAAATACCCATTTTCTAATTGTTAACTATAATTGATTTTTGTATGCTGATCATAAGATCCAGCCATTTTGCTAAACTCTCTTATTATTCATAGTGGTTTGCTATAAATTCATTACATTCTTTATGGCCAATTGGATTATTTCAAATAATGACAGTTTTATTTTTTCCTTTCTAACCATTATGCTCCTAATTTCTTTTTCTTAGCTTATTCAGGCCAGAACTTCAAGTGCTAGTTTCTTGCCTTTTGAGGGATGATTTCCCTCCTATTTATTCTACCTTTTTCCTCATGTTGGTTTGGCATTTCTATTATTTTAGTGGTTACTTCATGCATCTTAATAGGTACCTTTAACTTAATAAAATCTTAATATTGAATGATGTTTTGCCCCGCGTTCTGGTCAATCAAACAATTTTAGATTAGCTCTTATCTTCCCCCTTTTGACTTACTATTGTTTTCTCTCTTAATTTACCCACTTTGAACATTTCAATGTACATATACATATACACACCTATCTGTTTTTTGGGTTTTGTTTGTTTGTTCACATATATATGTTTTTAAGTAACATCTACATCCAACGTGGGGCTCTAACTCACAACCCTGAGATCAACAGTCCTATTCTCTACCAACTGAGCCAGCCAGGTGCCCCTTCAGTTCTTTTTTAATCCCCACAGATGATACTCCTGTATTATTTTGTTGAGATAATACTTGTTTGGGCTTAATTTTATGTCACCATTCTCTTTGCTCACTTTTCCTCTTTGAATTTCTGCCTCTTTTTTTTCTGGGATCAACTTCCTACTTCTTCAACTATATTCTTTATAACTTCTCTCAAACAGGTCTCTTTGTAAATTCCTTATAAGCTTGTTTCTTACAAAGATTATCATTTTTCCCCTTGTTATTGGATGGTATTTTGCTGAGGAAACAATTTAAGTGGATAGTAAGTTTTTTCTTATTTTATAGAAGCTATTCCGCCATCTTTTGGTTTCTATTGTTGTGAAATCTTCTACTACTGTAATGATCAGTATGTTTTTAATGTTTATTTATTTTTGAAAGAGAGAGAGAGCAAGCAGGGGAGGGGCAGAGAAAGAGCGGGACAGAGGATCTTAAGTGGGTCCTGTGCTGACAGCAGAGAGCCCTATGTTGGGGCTCGAACTCAAACCATGAGATCATGACCCAAGCCAAAGTCAGAGGCTCAACAAACAGAACCACCCAGGTGCTCCAGCTAATTATCATTCTTTCATCGATCATCTGACTTTCTCTTTCTGCTTTCCAGATCTTCTAGTTATATTTGGTGTGTAGCAGATTTACTATGATGTGACAAGGTATGAATTTATTTTTCTTTATCATATTTGGGATATATTGTACTTCCTGAAACTATGTATTCATGGTTTTCATCAATTCTGAAATTTCTCAGTTATTATCTCTTTAAATATTACTTCTTTCCAATT